TAAAAATGTCAGGATCATCAAATACAAAGAAAGTCTGAGAAACTGTCACAGCCAAGAGAAACCTTTGGAACATGATTGCTGTGTATAATGTGGTGTCCTGGGTGGGATCCTGAAACAGAGAAAGAGTGTTAGGTAAAACTGAGGAATTATGAGAGAACTCAAGTTCATACCAATATATCAATATTGGTTCATTAGTTGTAGCAAATATATCATGCAAATGGAATTTATTAATACTAGGGAAAACTGGGTAAGGGGTACATGGGAATTTTCTGTATATATTTACAATTTTTCTGGAAATCTAAAAAGCTGTTTTAAAGCAAAAGTTTATTTTTTAAAAATTAAAAACAACAATGACAAAAGGATTTTGAGAAGGCGACAGCAGAGAAAATGAGTAAATTGTCCAAGACAGAGCCAGGATTTGAACCCCAATCTGCCTGACCTTGCGGATTTTGTGAGTAACTGTTTAGACTGTTTGAACACCAGAGAGAAGTTCCACTCCTGGGGGCAGGAAAAAGATGTGTGTGGGGTCAGGGTGGGAGGACGAAGGTTGTCAACGAAGCTAGTAGAGCTTACGAGCCCAAGCTTGATGACCCAGGCCATACAATGTAAGATTCTGTTTATAGGAAATGCCCAGGACAGAAAAATCCACAGAGACAAGAAAGTAGATTGGTGATTGCCGGGGACTATGTGAGGGGAGAATTGGGAGTGACTGCTTAATGGTATGGGGTTTCTTTTTGGGATGATGAAAATGTTATTGAATTAGATAATGGTGATGGCTGCACAACATCATGAATGTACTGAAAAACAGTAAATTGTACACCTTAAATGGGAAATTTTATATTATATAAATTTTATTTCAATTGAAAAAAAAAGAGTACAAGCTTGAGATCCATTTTGTCTGTATTTAAATCTCCACTGCAGGGTTCACTAGCTGCTATGTGACCTTGGGCAAGTTACCTCTCTGTGCCTCAGTCCCCTCATCTGATAAAATGGGGGGAGAAATAGCACCTATCTCATATTGTCGGCATATGAAGGACTCAGGACAGTACGTGGCACAAAGAAAGCACCCAACATTAGCTATAATAATATTACTACAAAGAGATGATAAACTATCAAGAACTTCAACCTTAGGTGCCTTCCTTCCCAGGGTCCAGGTATTTGGGGTCCGTTCTGGACTGGATGGGTCACGATTATAAGGACTTACGAATTTATCACCAAATCTCCCCATCCAAGATCCTGCAAGTTGAGTCATGAAGAGCCCCCCTCCACCTGACATTCTGGGGCTGAGACCCACTCCGGATGGGGGCCGCCAAAACCCCGGGACGCTCCTCTCGCCCAGACACATAGCCTTAGGATGGAGACTGGAGCAGCCGCCTGGGTGGTGTGAGCTGCAGCGCGCCGCCTAGTGGCACCTGAGAGCACATCGGTACTGCTTGCAATGGGAGGTGCCCACCCAACGCCACCAGCCACGCCTGTAGGGAACTCTTACTGCTGCTTTAAAATCATCATTATTGTAAAATTGGTAGCTTGTATTAAGCCAGGTTAGGGGCTTTCTATATTCTTTTTAGTCCTACCAGGTAGTTCCTGTTCCTATTTTACAATTGAGGAAACCAATGCTTGGTAAGTCTCAGCAACCAGACTAAAGTTTCCCTGCAAGTAAGAGCAGTTCAGGCCTAGTCATCTATCAGCTCAATCCAGATTCCAGAATTCTGTCTCCAACACACTGTTCAGGTTTGGGAGAAATGTGGATAGCCTGTGAAAGCAATTGCAGCCCCCACTAAGGGTCAGAACTGGTTCTGGGAATGGTTTCAAAGGGGCTCTGTCTCACAAAGGCTGCCCCTCCTCCAGCCTCAGCACCCCCAGGCTCCCAGAAAATGGAGTGGAGGTAGAAGCCTCCTTCAAGGGCTCCTTGGCAAGCCTGTAGGCCCTCTGCCCAGTAACTGCTCTTTCTGCAGCCTCATTGATATATCCACTCAGCCAGTATTGATTGTAGGACTACTACATCCCGGACTCTGTGTTAGGTGGGAGATACATACAGTGGTGAACAAGGAAGAGGGGTCCTGCCTCCAAGCAGCTCACAACCTCATCCTGTTTCTTTCCCAAAGCAGGACCCCTTTGCTGTGAGTCCACTGGGACTGGGTTTGGGAACACCCTGGTAAATCTCAGTCCAACTACTCTAGTAAGTCATCCCAGGGCCTGGGCCTTGCCCATTCTTCACCAACTGAGGGAAAGGTGAGGGCTCAGGGCAAAAGACTTCCTCCGAAGCCCTATCACTGTCCCTGCCAAGGGCCGGCCCTGGGAGATGTGACCACCTCAGCAGTGTGGCTTGGCTGCAGGTGGCTGAGGCAGGGACACTGGACCAGCATGGGAGGGGATGCAGGAGAGTTCTGGAGGGATCCCTGCTGTGGTTAATCCTCCATCTTGATGCTGAAGTCCTGGAGGGAAGTCAGGGCCCAGGACCTTCCATGGGCACATTTCAAGAGTTGTAAGAGTTTTAGGCTGGAGTGGGAAGTGGGGCAGGGACCTGCAGGAGAGGGGAAAATAACCACTCTCCTTTCGCTTGCCCCTGCCAATCCTCCTTTCCCTCCAGCCAGGGATTAAAAAAATCATGAAACCTGACACTTGGACTAGAAGTGTCTGTCTAGTGTAACTACTACCTGAATAGCAAAGTCCTGAGGACTGGGAGTTTTGTTAAAAATCTCCATGATCCCACTGCCTTCTGACCGAGAGAGAGAGAGAGAGAGAGAGAGAAAGAGAGAGAGATGTATGTGGTCCCTGCATGCCATGTTTCTGCTGAGATCTCCACTGTGATAACTAGTATTGTGTCCTTGATCATGTGCCCACAGCCAGGGAATGACAGTCAGATGTGGGTCTTGGTACCTGTGTCCTATATGTTTCTTGATGGTAGTTAAGAATCTAAATACCTATTTATCTTTAGTGTCACCTGCCTAAAAGTATATCTGTGCTTTTAGATGTATGTGCCTGGGTATGTGTTTGTGTCTGTGCAAGGTAGATGTGTATGCTTCTTTCAGTCCTGTCTTAAGCATGTGGTTTTCCCTGCAGTTGGGTACCTATTTGTATGTGTTCCTAGGAGGGTCATTTTGCACCTGTTTGTCTTTGCTGTCTGTATACTTGTGTGTACCTTTGTAGGTGTGTATCAGTGAGGTGTGCCTGCAACTGTGTCTAGGTTGTGTGTATGTCTGTGTGCCTGTAGCTATGTGTATGGGTGGAGCTGACTGGTGTGATGAACTACTGGTTTTTTCACCTACTGACCTTGCCTGAGCTGTCCTGAGCCAAGCTAAAAATAACCCACCTACCTTTGCCCGCAGAGACCTTGCCCATTTGGCCAAAGTTCTTCCTAGGGAGTCTCACTCAACCCATATCCTCCCACCTGATCCTCAGTGCCCAGACAGAGAGTGTTGGGGAGGTGGACTACCTGCACGTTTCCCCAGGTGCTCCAGATGCCTACCCGTGGGGGGAGGATGTGTGGAGGAGGGAATTGGGCAGTCCTTGTTGCTTCTCTGCCCCTGCCAGGACCACTTCCAGGCTACAAGTCTGGCCCCCAAGTCCTCTCTCCTCCAGTCAAGAAAGCATCCTTGGGGATACTTGGCCCTATACAAGACCAAACCCAACTGGCTCCTGGGCCTGGCTGGACCAATGTCTGACTTCCTTCACCCCTTCCTGAAGCAGCCCACTGCATCTGTATTTAAGGAGTGATTCTAGAGCCCAGCTCTGGAAAAATCCCAAGTAGTGAACCAACCAGGCCTAGGAAGAAGAGGCATTCCTGCTGACTGCCAACCCTTTCTCACCTGCCAGCCCACCCCAGAGTGGGTGTGGTGGACGCAGACTCTCAAGCTCAGAGGGTTTCTTTCCAATCCCATTTTCCCTGCCCCTTTCACTCAAAGCTATGTGATCTTAGGCAAATGACTGAACATCTCTGTGCTCCATTCCTTTGTCTATTAATGGGGGTACAAATGGTACTTACCTCAGAACATTGTTGTAAGGATTAACTGAGGTGATGCCTATAAAGTGCTTAACCCTATTCCTGACACACAGGAGGTCTTTCCCAGTGTTAGCTGATCCACTCCTTCTGACATCTCTGGGTTCAATCTCAAGACACAGTCCATTCCCCAAACTTCACCCAGCTCCATATGCCCCTTGGCCCACCTTTTGGTAGCGAGGACTTTCCCCCAGGAATAAGACTGGCTGGGAGGGGAGATCTTGGGAAAATAAATTACTGACTTTGTGCTGCGGTGTCCATACATATTTTTTTCTTTCAGTTCTACATTTCCTTATGAAATGGTTATTATCTTTTTCATTTTACAGATGATGATGAAGGGAGCATCAGAATGGTTAAGTAACTCGTCCAAGGCCACACAGCAGGTAAAAAAAAGGAAGAGCCCAAATTTACACTGAGCCAAAATGGCTGCTTTCTCCCCTCTACCTCATTGTGGCTGGGGTGGAGGCGCCGGGGCAGGACAGGCAGGGTTTTACATCCTAGGACTTGAATGCTGGAGGAGGTCAGAGGGCTTTTGTAACAGACAAGTAGGGCCAACCAGGATGCTCCAAATTCATACCCAAGTTCACGTAGCTGTAAACCCCAGCTTAACCAGGACTTCAGCGTTTAAGATTTGCTCATTAGGGAGCCTTTTTTGGAAAGACCCCCACATGCAGAGGACATAGGACAGTAATAAAGACCAGGGAGCCAAAAGTGAGAGTCCTGAGTTTCATTAGAGGAGAAAACTGACACAGATATGCCAAAGGAGAGAACAAAAATACGTTTCCTTAGTTTTTGGAACCGAAAATTGGTTAGACTCCTCTTCCAGTTACGATCCAGCGGCCGGGTTTTCCAAAGCTCAGCGCCCGGCGTCTCTCGAGGTCCCCCCTGAAGGGCCCCTAGCTCGGTCGAGGCCGCGCGGAGGTGGCTGTCGATTCCCTACCTCTGGGCCCCCCGTCGGCTCCGCCCTCGCCTGCGCAGGCCCCGCCCAGGCCGCGCGCTCCCCTTTACTCGTAGACTCACCAAGGCTAGAGAGCGGCGGCGCTCGGCGGTGTGCCTGGCGGCGGAGGCCGACGAGGGTGTGCGGAGCGCAGAGAGGCGCACTCCTGGGTTGGGACTGAGCGGTGCAAGCCTTTGAGAGAGCCGCTGAGCGCACTCGCTTTTGGTCGCTCAACTTCGGAGCCAGGACGCGGGAGCCTGGGGAGCGCTCGGAACCCCGGAGCCGAAGTAGCGCGGAGAGGGGCGCGCCGGAGCCTGTCTCGAGAGCAGGCGCCGGACGCCCATCACGCTCCGAGTTCCGGGCAGCCCTCTGCGCAGTGTGGCTGCCGCTGCCCCCACGGAGGGCACGGGCTGGCGCGGCCGGGCACCGGTGAAGACGAAGAGGAGGCGGCGGCGGCGACGTCGACGGCGGCGGCGAGGCTGGGGCCAGGGAGAGAGCCCCGGGGGAGAGGCGCCCGAGCCCGGCCGCGGGAGCATGTGGGCCCGGAGCGGAGCGCGGGGCGCGTTGCTGCTGGCACTGCTGCTCTGCTGGCACCCAATGCTGAGCCAAGCAGGTAGGGAGCTTACGGGCTTGGGGGTGAGGGGAGGGGGGCGGCTGGCGTGGGGACTCCTGCGCCTCACTCTGATCTAAAGTTGAGGTGATCTGTCCCCGCGTCGGTGCGCGCAGTTAAAGCAGCAGGAGCGCCCAAGTTAGAAGGTAGATTTCCCTGCTCCACGAAGGTGGGCTATGGTGAAGCCACCTCGCTGTGGACCCAGGCCAGGAGGTTCTGAGTAAGCCGGAAGCCTCCTGCTCCCGCCTGGAAGGGTAGCTAATTTTTCTTGGAATGAGTGTCCAAGTCGGGGTCTGCGCCTCTCGGAGGACCCGCCTCCAGGGTAACCCTGGCTCCCCGCGCGTCCGACGCGGGCGCCGAAAAACAAACCCTCGCTGCTCTTGCCAGGTGTACCCTCGCTCTCTTGCAACTTCCCAGCCGGTCCCGGCTCACCCAGGCTCTTATGCGCTGCAGACCCGAATCCGCAGACTATATTAGAAAGCGAGAGAGCCGCGGGGCTACGGGAAGCGGGGATCTGCTCCATCAGCCGGAGGAAGCCGGCTTTGGCTGTTGAAGGGGGAAGGGCTGAATCCTGCATGTACTGCTTTCCCCGAGATCTTGAGATCCCAGGTCTGGAACGATTTTTTTCCCCTGGGTGTTGGTTGGTGTGTGTGTTGGAGAAGAGTGGGAGAGTACGTACTGATTCTGCCGAGTTTCCTTTTAAATGGGTCACTGACATTCTCCATCGTCCGGGGAGCAGACAAGATGCGCTCGCTTGGGTACAGCTCCTACTCTGGACCCAGAAAGATGTCTTAGAGGGGTTGGTGGGCTCCTAAAACAAAGTCCCTACACCTCCTCCTTGGCCGTGGATGTGTACACGTCTTTTTCGTATGTAGCTGGGCCCGGCGTCGCTAACCGCGCCGCATCTTCTCGGGAAGCCGGTGAACGCATGGGATGGGAGCCAGCCTCTCTTTGGTGCCCAAGCAGGTGGGCTGGCTGCGGCCGCCGAGCGCAACCGCTCTTGAAGCTGGGAGAGGGTGGAGGGGGCTGGGTGGGGAACTTCCTGTACCGAATCCTCTGAGCTGAGGCTAAGAGTGGAGCAGGTAAACTGGTGCAGAAAGTGGACCAGATGACGTAGCCCTACCCCCTCCACCTTCCGCTGGGATGTTGGCATCCACCCTCCTCCGGGCCCCCACCCGCCTTGGCCAAAAATTTCTAACTCTGGAATTAATGGTTCCCACGGACCAGGAGTGAGGGCTTGGTTTTAGCACATCCTCCACTTTTTTCCCAGCCCTGTGTTGTAAAGTTACAACACAATCATTTGATCCAAGTTAATTATGATTTGGGCAGACTCTGGTATTTAAAGCAGCGTTTTGAAGTTGGAAGGTAATGATGGGGGAGGGGCAGGCTGCTGAATGATCAGCCTTGTTTTAAAGAGTTGGGTTGGTTGTGGGAGGTGTTGGGCTGGAGTGCTGGTTTCTGGTTTAAGGATGTTTGAGGGAAAGTGATTGAAGGGTGGATGAAGTCTCTGTAAATAGTACATGGGCAGGGTTGGGTCTTGGGAAGCTGTTTTTGTACCAACAGGGCAATGGGATTAGGAATATATCCTGAGGTTCCTGGGAGTGGGGGTCACTGGAGTGGGCAGGAGGAAGACAAGACCAGTTGGCCTAGAGAGCTCTCTGGAACTGGGGAGGCTGGGGGTGGCCTGCCTTTTCTGCTTAACAAAGCATCCAGCCTCCACCTTCCCCAGAGGAAGCCCCAGGCCTAGGGCTTTGATGGATTGGGCATGAATGGTGCCCAGCCAGAAATGGCTTCTAATACTGGGCTTTGATTTCTCACTAGTGAGCAGAACCAGTGTTGAAATTGTGTTCATTTCTTAGCATGGCAGGGGCTGCCTGCCCACCAGCCTGGAGAGGGGCCAGTTGGTGAGATCCGCTTGCAGACTTCCCTTTGTCAGAATGCGCCACCTTAGAAATATTCTTTCAGGAGGGAGAACATGCCCCTTCCTCCTACACAACCCTTTTCCTCTAATGCCAGGAACGCAGAGCATCTTTCAGTGTTCTTTGGGTCTTTCCAGTGGATCCCACATGAGTCCCATTTCACTGGTGGGGAAAACCAAGGCCAGAGTGTTGGCTTCCCTCAAATCTTGCCTTCACTTGACCGTAGATTGCAAACTTGTTTGCAGGGCTCCTACGCAATAGCCAGGCTGATTCAGGCCATGTTGAAGTTCTCCTTGGCCCCATCCACCCCTCTGCCATGAGGCTCATGTCAAGCTGAGGCAGAAAAGGCTGCCTCTACTGGTGATGGGGGTGGGGGTTTTTCCTTGGGAATGTCCAAGCTCCCCTCAAGTGGCAGCACCTTCCTCCTTTCCTCTACTCCCATCCCCAGTGAATATGGGGATGAACTCCCTTTAGAGCACTGAGAATTTTTAAGCCGTGAAGTTTTCAAACCCGAAACCATAAAACCTCAGATCCTTAGATGTCAGCAAGTGACTGACCCGGAGAGACCACTTCAAAAGCCCAGGCTGGCCCTGGGAATCTCCACCAACCCCACCTCTCAGCCTTTCCTGGAGCTTTTAATGAATCTTTCCTTGGCCTCTGGCTGGGATGGTTGAGAAAGAACCAAGGTGTCATGATAACACTTCTTTTTATGGTACAATTAAAATCCGTTTTCTTAGTGTCTCTGCTGTGAGTGTGTATGTGTGGTGTGGTGGCCCATCCATGTCTTCCTCTGCACTATAAGGAACACCATCTCACTTAAACAAATGGAAAATCAAGAGTGTCTTAATGGGTTTTCTCATTAAAGTGAAAATACCACTGCAGGGGAGGAATTTCATATGTAATTTCTCTCCTTCCTCTTCCCTCTCCCATCCTAAACTGGGAATTCTGTAGGACAAAACAATTCTTCTCTTTCCCAGCCCACATTTAACTGCTGAAGCTTTGGGACAGGCCCTGACTTGCCCGAGGTTACACTGGGACTCAAGGATAGAGCTGGGATTTGAACTCGGACCTCACAAACCTTAATCTAGTAGTCATTCTGGTTCCTTCATTCCACCTGGGCTGCAAGACCTGCCAGCATGGGTCTGGGACTAAGATTCTGAAATCAAGGTACCACTGAAGAGGGCAGGCAGCTAGAGGTAAAGTTCATTTGGTGGCTGGACTAGACAAGGACTTCTGGCAGCATAGGGAAAAGAAGTTGAGTTGGGAGCACAGGCTCAGGAGAAGTGGAACAGGGCTGAGCCAAAGGTCAGAGGTGAGGGCTCTTGAGCCCAGGCAAGTGCCCAAAAGTGACTCCACCTCTGGTGCCAATCTTCTCAGCCACTGCCCAGATCTGCCCCAGGTAAGATAAATCACAGGCCAAGTTCACTTGGGCTGTTCGACATTAGCGCTTGAGAGCCCTGCACCCTTTATGTATTTGGGGTTGGGATGTGTTTATACTTTTTATTTTGAAGCTTTGGGGGCCTGTCTCCTCCTCCTCGTTCACTTTGTTGAGTTTCTCCTGGATAGAGGGTACTGTGACCCTGTTCCTGGCGGTCGGGCCTAAGATGAGGTCTGCTTCTCACCTGCCTTTACTCTCCTTACCTGTGTCTTTTTCTAAAGGGGTGTGGGCTGCCTAGGACGTTGAGGATGATGCTGGAGGACGTGGACCCCTTCCATGCCAAGTGCTTATAGAGCAAGTTCAGTGATTCTGAATGGCCTGTTCTGGGGCCTTCCTGCCCCGGGGCCTGCTGGCTAAACGTGTGGACTTTTGAGCCTGGGAGCCGGGGCTCTAGTGGAAAGGAGACGTTTGGGAGCCCACTGAGGCCTGCGGGAAAGGGAGGAGAGGCAGGGTGAGAGGCTGGTACTGGGGCTTGCCCTGCTGGGGCAGGGGCTGGGGAGCCTGGGCAGGATGTGGCCCCCGTACACACACACCAGGGGGTTGTGGCCAGTGGGCAGCTGGGGCCTGTGCTGGCGCTTCTGGCCGCCTCCCCACCTCCTCCTCCTCCTCCTCCTCCTCCTCCTCCTCCTCACCAGTTTCCTAAACAGCTTCCTAAACAAATGGAGTCATTAAAGCTGTGAAGGCAAAATGAAACCAAACAAGTGTGTTCTGTGCTCTGCTTTTCCTTTTTTTAAAAGGAAAATTTAAATACTGTAATTAGAAAAATACAAGGGAGGGCAGTTTCAGGAGGGTCCAGGGAATCCGTGCACTCCACCCTTTTGATTTGCTTCCCAAGTTGGGGCTGAGGCACCCCCCACCGCAGCTCCCTGTGGGCCTCCTCCCGGTCGGGTGCCACAGGGGCGCCTGGAGCCGCGCTTTTTGGGAGACGTCTGGCGGCCCTGGCCGGCTTTGGCTCCTCACCGCCGTGCCGTGAATCGGGCCAACTCAGACTCCCGCCCCAGCCGCCGCGCCCCCGCTGGGCAGGCCAGCCCCGGAGCGCCAAGCCACAGGTCTCCGCCGCGCCCCTTCCTCCCCGATCCTGGGCCTCGGCGATGCTCACCGCAGCGAAAACATTTGCTGAAGTGCAGGCATAAATCAGCCGCCTCCCCGCTCCCCGCGGCCCCCTACCCCTTTTGTTTCCTCTTGCTTCTCTCCCAAGCGCTGGGTTGCTGGAAGCTCCCGAGCCTACCCCTGCAGACCAAGCGGCCTGATTGGCATCCGCACAGCTCGCGGGTGGATTCGGCGCCGCCGCCCTGGCCGCGCGGTTACCTAGGGGCTACGCGCACCTCCGTGCTGCCAGCTCCTCCCCGTGCCTCCCCTCCCGAGCTAAATCAGTCTGTGGGAGCGCCCGGAGTCTAACGCCACCGCCTAGCCTCTCTCCTCACCTTCCAGAATGGGCTGCCTCCAGCGCCTCAACTTCCAAACCTCTGCACGCTCATTTCTCAAGGAAGGCAGGCTGTGAGTGTGAGTATGTATAAGGATTTGGCGGGGGGTGATGGGGTGAGAATGCACATTGAGGAAGTAGGTGGAGGTGGTAGTGTGCAGTGGGAGGTGAGGTAGGCATGGTGTTTCATTGGGGTGTTAGGTGCGAGGAGGTGAAGTGTGCA